TAAAACCAGACTTAAGTCCTGTTGGTGCTCCTGGGCTAATTGACCCTTTGCTAAGCCACACCCCATATACACAGCTGGCCAATCACAACGCAGTAAAGGACTCTCTCTGAGGTCCGACACTTTCCTGGATGCGCTCCATTGACTCTGATGCAAAAGGAGACGTTTTCTAGCTTTCTTCTGCCGTATTTTTACAAGACATGGTCAAACACTGTTCCTGGGGCACTTGTAATAGTTACAGGTGCTCCCCAGAGAGGTTGAAACGAGAAGTACGATTTATTCACTTTCCAAAACCTACAATAAATCCAGAAAAATGTCTGCTGTGGATTGTTCCTAATGTAATAACTACAGTAACCTAACTTACTACTAAATGTAATGTTATAAATCCCTACTGTTCTGCTTTTTAACCATTGTAGTAATGAACAGAGGCCTACCCGGCTTAACAGGAACAGTGTTGATCCTTAATGTCGTTGTCTTTTGTCTCAATCGTTGGGGGATGCTGTGTGATCAGTACGCTTTAGCTTCTTTAATTTTTTTTCACGTCCGTTTGAGTCAGTTTGACATCCTGAATACAACCTTCAAATGTCTAATGCAACAGCAAAACTGTCTGCTTCTTTCTGAGATTGTTTTTTCCCCAAAAAATTGTCAATATTTCTCCAGGAGAGGGCAGTAATAGACAGTGGCAGCACCGTGATAAAAGTCTAACAGCTATTGTTATTGGTAACGCCTTATTCTCATCCATAGGGAGGTTGCTGCTGGGCTGAGGACACGGACCTCCCTGCTAACTTGCTACCCTCTGATTTCCTTTTCAGGTTCCACCTTTGCCTTGGTTTCTGGACATGGTGTTTTAGTGGTAGTTATTATTTTTTGCACACAACAACACCCTTACACCCATTTTCCATGCATCCATCATCCTGCCCTGACATGACTGAAACCACTGATGTTCATAGACCATACTTCATCACCTGTACTTTGCCACAAACCTTGTGGCTTTCTGAATCAGGTCATAACAAATGGGGGCTCGTCGGACAGATGACGGCTCATAAAATGTGACAGAAAGCGGGAGACCAAGCAATTTAAAGTGCCAAAAAAGATTTTATTAAAGAAACTATAAACAACATAACTATTTACAAAAGATGAAATGTGATAATCAGCGACATCAGTGGTGAGTGGATGAGTGAGAAATGTATGAATGAAGGTTGCCGGCAACTCAGAACAGCAAACCAACCCAAACCAGGATGAGTGGAGCCTGGGAGAGAGAGACATGCAGTGAGACAGGTCTACACAGGGGTCAGCCCAATACGTGGCGAGCCCTCCCAAACTGCCAGCTCCTGCAGGAAGCAACCAATGTAGCCACAGCAGGAAGAAAGGGAGGGGTCGTAACAATCCAATGGGTAAAGAAAAAGTACTATTACAGTACTATGTATTTACAGTAGAGTGGATGTGTCTTTTTAAGTTTATTTAAAAAGTGGATATTTAGGATATATAAATATACAGGTTGTACTACATGTGTATCATTTATACAGATTTTCCAATTTTATAGTCCACTAGCTGTAGTCCAGAGAGAGAGAAAGAGAGAGAGAAATCTAAATCAAGACTCATCAAACAATGTTTTTCCTTCTTCTGTTGTCCAGTTTTGGTGAGCCTGTGTAGAAACTGTAGCCTCAGTTTCATGTTCTTAGCTGACAGGATTGATACCCGGTGTGGTCTTCTGTTGTAGATCAGCAGTTTCTGAAATACTCAGATCGGCTCGTCTGGCACCAATAACCATGCCATGTTCAAAGTCACTTTAACCCCCTTTCTTCCCCTTCCTGATGCTCAGTTTGAGCTTCAGCAAGTTGTCTTGACCACGTCTACAGGCCTAAATGCACTGAGTTGCAGCCATGTGATTGGCTGATTAGCTATTTGTGTTAACAAGCAATTGAACAGATTTAACTAATATGGTGTAAAAGTCAGCACAGAACTAGAGCCCTGCAGGGGCCAAAACTCCGGCCCTGGCCTGTGGTGTTCAAGCCCAGCCCGACAACATTTTCAGCCCGAGCAGAGACCGACATCAATTTGATGCATGCAGGTGGAGCCTACTAACTGGTTTTATTCTTATTCATGATGAATTTAATGTTGCAGAAAAGAACGAGATCCAAGAAATAGATAAATAAAATAGAAACATGTTGGAGTCTTTAATCATTTTAACATCTTAATAAATAGTCGAGCCTGTTGACATTTGTTTGTAATAATAAATTAAGGCAACTGTTATAGGTTGGCTTCGCCTTCCCCTCTTTTCCTCGTGTTCCCAGTGTTTCCCTTCCCTGCTGTCTCTGTCAGTCGTGTCTGCTTTGTCCTGTCTGTGTGTGTATGGGCGTGTCCGGGCAGAGACACTGAGGGCAGAGACATAACGTCTAACACGCCCACATGTGATGTCAGTCCGTGGACACCAGATAACTCAGCAGCCACAAGTGCAGAGCATGTACACAGTGTAAACATCAACAGAAAAATATGTTGATCAGGCACACACGAGTCAGCTTTCAGCCTCTGTCCTAAAATATGACGAAGTGTAATCAGACACAAAGTCAGTTCAATAGAAACACAACCTGTCTAAGGCCTTCATATGAAAAAGAAGATATACTTTATCACTTTGTTATTACGTTAGTATACACACAGGTCTGAAAGACACACACATGCACAAACATGACCCAAAGCAACACACAGAGGTGAACTTGCACCTCGCCACAACTCTGGTCCGAGCGGGATTTGAACCAGCGATGATATATATATGTATATCCTGAAAAGTCAGCTGAATAGGAAAAACAAGATCCGAGCCATTAACACATACATGTCATCAGATAACCCGCTGGTATAATAAACTGGCCAAAGGAGGAGATAGAGGCCACTGACATCAAAACAAGAAAGCTCTTCACAATGCATGGAGGGTTTCACCCCATATCCAGCACTCTGAGACTGTACACCAAGCGTAGCGAGGGAGGCCGAGGGCTAGTGAGTGTCAAGACCACTGTCCAGGACGAAACGACGAAGGATGCCCCTGAGACAGTACAGCACATAACAGCAGGGTGTAAGATGCAGGCAGGAAGTGAATACATGGAACGCCATAACCAGGTAGCTGGCATAGTGTACAGGAACATCTGCCATGAGTATGGGCTGGAAGTCCCAAAGTCAAAATGGAAGACACCTCCTAAGGTAGTTGAGAATGACCGAGCTAAGATCCAGACTGACAAACTCTTGGCTCACCAACCAGACATCGTGTTGATCGACAAACAGCAGAAGAAGGCTGCAGTGATAGATGTGGCGATCCCAAGCGACAGCAACATCAAGAAGAAGGAACACGAGAAGCTTGAAAAATATCAAGGGCTGAAAGAGGAGCTAGAAAAGATGTGGAGAGCAAAAGTAACAGTGGTTCCAGTGGTGATCGGAGCACTGGGGACTGTGACCCCCAAACTGGGAGAGTGTCTACAGCAGATTCCAGGTAAAACATCAGAGGTCTCTGTCCAGAAGAGTGCAGTCCTGGGAACAGCTAAGATACTGCGCAGAACCCTCAAACTCCCAGGCCTCTGGTCCAGGACTGATGCATCTACTGCTACTACTTCAACATTAGTAATATTAATATCCATAGCAGTAAAGTATCTGATCATTTCAAATATATTTAAAAAGATGGATAAGGTTTTGAAAATGTATATTTAATGCTAATGAGTTTCACCCACTGAAACGTCAGCGAGTTTGACAATGATGTTTATTAAAGTCATTTACTGTAAACTCTTCAACAATCTCAATTATTAAGATTTACACAGTTAGACTGACAGAATTACAAGAATTAAAAAGATATATTTGTGACTAAAACTTATATATACAGTATATCAAAGCAACACATTCATATTAAATGCCTGTTCATTTAGGCATTCACACTATCTGAGATTTGTGTGTCTTCCTGCATGAGGCAGGAACTAGAAACCCCGGGCTGACCGACCTGTAGGAGTGCAGGAGCCATGACAGCAGACCTCTATGGTCGTAACTATTCCCGGCATGAAGTGTTGACTGAACCAAATTACATTGGATTTATAATCAGAGTATCTCTTTGTCTTTAAGAAATGATGCTCATTAGTTTTACAGTAGAAGTACTTTAACGTTGTATTGTCTGTGTGCCATGTTGTAGCTGCAGTTTATTCCATGTTGATTCTGAGAGTCAAACATGAGGAATATAGAAGAGTAAATGGAGGCTGTTCCACTGTTCACTCATTTCCTGACTATAATATGAACAAAAGCTGATTTGTGGTAATAACATGCACTCACCTTCAACAGACTTAATGATTAAAGAAATTCATTAAACTACAACAATAATTTCCCCTTCGTGGGTTGCTGCCTCATCTTGGTGGAGAGGTCTGTGTAAAGCTGTTGACTGTGGGAGCTTGTCTTGTCTGCTGAACAGCTCCTTGTAGACACATTGGTCTCAGAGACGGGTCAGACTAAATGCAATTCAAATATCCACCCTGAACCAGGGATGGAAAAGTACTACAATATTCTACTTATGTAAAAGTAAAATCACTTAAACTGCATTCAGATCCAAGTAAAAAGTAAACAGCCACCTTCTGCTGCTGTGAAGGAAAACTGTACAAATATTGTTTCTCTCCTGCTTCTAGATGAAACCAAAGTCACTAAACCTGATAAAAACAGGATCATTCACTTTCTTTAAGTTTAACGCTGTAGCTGTTTCACAACGTCTGTCAGGACCTGTGATCAGATAACAGAGTGTGGGTGTTTCAGAGGGAGGAGTTTGGTATTAAGCAGCTCTGAGCTCATTTTAACTTCACCATCCCCAAGTCACCTCTCTCTGAGTCAGGATGTGGGTTCAGCTCTTCCTCTTTACTGCTGGTGAGTAGAAACTAACATGAGAACAAACTGTTGCTCTTAATTTCATGTATATCTGAAATATCTGTATTTATGTTTTAATTAAACACCAAATTAAGAGTTTGGATAAATCAGACTACACTGAACTTAACACTTCATAATCAGTTAAAAGCTGTGACTGTCTGCTTTGTGTTCTGGTAGTTATATTTGTTATAGATGATTATCTGTTAAAACTGATCACTGTGACCTGAATTTAACACAGAAAAAACACATTTATTAAATATTCAACATGGCGTCTGTCTGTTGGAAACATGTTGATCACAGCTCATCATCTGAATGTGACCAGTTTTATCTGCTGTACTTTCAGTTTGAAAGCTAAACGCTGGTTTCTCTTCCTGCTGATAAAATAACTGCAACAAAGAACCAGCTCCGGGGGAAAAACAGAGCAAACTGAAGAGCAGCAGCTCTGAGTCACAGTGAAGATCGAAGCTTAAATTAAAAGCAGGTTTTGCTCAGTTTAACTTTGTGTCTGTGAGCTATGTTCAGTTTCCTGCTTCAGGAATTCACGCTGGCTGTGAGCCAAATTACAGGTTTCCTTAGTGTCGCAGGAAACACAGTATATATATATATATATATATATATATTTCTTTCTTCACTTTGTACGACAGCCCGGTGTAACAGTGTATTTTACTCACAGGAGGAGAAAAACAGAAACATGAAGTTCCCGAAAAATCAGCTGGACGACAGAAGAGCTGGAGCTTCACTGCTGAGAGTAAAAACAACAGGAAACACCCAGAACTGCACCAGCGACATTTCGTTCAGTAGTTTTCTCCAGGAAACAACAGTTTCTACCTGAAGGGACGATGTGTGGGTGAGTTACTCAGCTTATTGACCGACCATAACACAAATAAAACATTTATTCTCTTTTAGGCCGCAGATTAGTTTCAAAAGTGATCTGAGCCTTATAAAGAGTTTATAGCAGTTAGTCTTTTTGTGTAAACTAGAGTAATATTGTATTTAATTGTATAGAATACATACATGAACAGTATCTGTGGCTGTCACCTTATAATTGAGCCCAGTTCATGACTGACTGACGGCCTCTTGCGAAACAGGCTATTGTGCGAAGTTTATGCTAAACAGGCTATTGTGCGAAGTTGTTGCCTCACAACCCACAAATGGACTTCCCTCTTGTGATCATAAGCACAAGCCGCTCACGCTTGATTATCAGATCAGTGAAAGTCAGCCGCTGCGATCAAGCTCAAAGTTTCTGAGGAGGGGACCAGCTCATTTCTCTCTCAGCTGACATGCGACTCGCGGTTTTCTTCTGTTTCATGATCTTCACTCTGCTCTCTGCATCTGGAGGTGAGCTGTGTCTTTGTCTTTGTGTGCGTTTCTTACCTGACCTGAATCTTGTAATGTAGCGATCGCGACGCCTTGTTGTGGAAGTTTATGCGGGACCTTGTTGATACTGACAGAGTTTGAAACCTTGTAACTTTTCAACCCTCAGGAATTTTGTATAAAAAGGCGACCGTCAGGCTGTGGTCGGGAGTAAATCAGTGATCACTCGGCGGCTGTGTGTGAACTACAGCAGAACAGCTACTCGACACATCACTGACACATCGCGATCTTCTGCCAGACATCTAGCATGCTAAATGTATATAATGTAGTGTGTGACCCCCTGTCACTGATCAGTCACCTAGTGTGAACGCCACAAAAACTTCTTGAAGTCTTGAAGCATCCTGTCGCAAGAAGGCAAGTTGTGTGATGTGAAGGGCACAGCCATCTGCCAAAACTTCTTTTAATGTTTGTAGTTTTGAAGATCACACGTTTATAACAAATTTACACATGCAGTTAACACAATGGCTGTCCATCTGAGTATCAGGTAGAGTCTGTGTGCTGTTACTGTCTTTCTCTACTTCAGAGTTACAAACCCGAAACAAGTGTGAGTAAAAACCGACGTGTGTGCATGTTTGCTGTCAGGCTACTGGAACAGCCTGTCTGAAGAAATCAGGTCAGCTGAGTCAGTGAACTCTTTTAAGCCCCTTCTTAAAACATACTTTTATAGGAGAGCCTTTCCCGATCTTATTGACTTTATTTTATCCCTTTTATTTTATTGTATTTTACTAATTTTATATTTATCTGTATTTTAGTCTTTTCAATGTTTTCATGCTTTTATCTTGTATTGATTTTTGTATTATTGTCTCTTGGGTATTATTGTCTTTACACTTGTTAAAGCACTTTGTAACTTGTTTTTGAAAAGTGCTCTACAAATAAGGATTATTATTATATTATTAGAGTCCAACCCTCAACAGTGTCACTGTGTTCTTCCTTCCTTTACCGCCCTCCCTGTCTCTGCCAGGCGTACGATCCTTCCTCATTGCACTGGCAGGCTACTAGAAGACCTGGGCTCTCTGTCTGTACTCTTTTATTTTTTCCCTCTCTGTCTGTACTGACTCCAGCAACATCCTAGTTCATGACGTCATGGTCGTTGTATACGCTCATTAAAACAGTAATATGAACCAATCAGATAGCTTGATTTGTGTACCACTTTATTCACGTCATAATGTTGAAGCAGCTTCATGTCTCACAACAAGTCTTATAAACAGTGTGTGAATAAAATCCTGTAACGTCTCCACAGTTGTGACTAATTATTGAATGTTCCCATGATCTCAGGTGTGAAGAGGCCTTCTGTTTAAACAAAGATGTTCTCACTGTATCGTCCTGTGGAGTCCTTTTGAAATGTAATTACTTTTTCTCTCTGGATGTTTTTATTGTTTTTAGATGTGGTACAAGTGAAACCTGGAGATAATGTCACTCTGCCATGTCAGGCTGGAGATGTCTTCATCAGAGCTGTAGAGTGGACCAGACCAGACCTGGAGCCAGACTACGTCGTCTTTCACAGAGATGGACTCTCAGATCCAACCCACCAGCATCCATCCTTTAAGGACCGGGTGCAGCTGGTGGACAGAGAGCTGAAGGACGGAGACGTGTCTTTACTTCTGAAGAATGTGAGCAGCAACGACGCTGGAACATACGAGTGTCGAGTTGCACAGGAGGTTCAAGACGTAAGAGAGCCATTATTGAGACTGAGCCAATCAGAATCATCCAGCTGGAGGTTCCAGGTGAGTTTGTGGAGGTCAGTGTGTCTGTGTGTACTAAGGCTATTCTTTATTCTCATAGCGTAGTCTAACTAAAAGTTATTATTACCAAAACTTTGTTTTTTACTTCATGCCAGGCAAGTAGACACAAATGCAGGACTGAGAGAGGGAGGAGACTGGAGTTTGATAAAAGCAGAGTATTTACTGCGGCATTAAAGGAATCAGGTAGTGAGCTGGTGAAGAGCGAGTTAGAGTTGAAGACTAGATACTGCAGAACAGAGCTGAACGATTTTGGAAAATAATCTAATTGCCATTTCTTTCTTTTTTACCAACATTGCATTTAATATGCGATTCATTTTAAGCTCTTTACCTTCTGTTTTATTCAATGGACAAGCAGTAAATCAGTGTATACTATGACCAACTCAATATTAGATCAGTCAGGCCTGTATTACGATGAAATTAGGTGATGCATGAATTATTAAAGAAAGATAATTTGAGTGAAGTCGTGGCATTAAATAATATGATATAAAATCATCAGGTCGGCATACAAACCACAAGAAAAACAAAGTTCACCACAGTGTGTTATACAGTAAGCGCTCCATACAAAACCCACAGTGCAACCACAAAACAATGTGCCCTTATTACGTCAGTTTACATCTCATAGGAGTCCATCTCTCAACAAAAACCTCCGTTTCTATATCCAAGTAAGCAAACAAAAAAATTCTCAGTTTGAGGTGTCGCCTCTCGTGTTTAAGAGACAAGTTTAGTAATTCTCCGACAACACCGGAGTCCCCCCCCCCGTAACCAGGCTGTAACAGACATTTCCTGAGCTGACATGTGGCTGTGCCTGTGTTACTGATGCAGATCACCACAATGCACTTACCTTAATACACGCGTCTTTCTGTTCTGCATTTTTCCTGTCACCAAAGCGGTGAATTGCCCGACGAATTCACCAACCACCACCAAGTTACCCGCGGGTGGCGGCTACTACTTTCATTCCCTGTGTGACACTAAAGTTTATGTAGTTCAGCTTCTGTCAAGCTTAAGCCATTGTACAACAAGAAGGCAAGGTACAGCGTAATGTGCAGACGAAGCATCAACTTTGTCTGCAGACTACTTACCGCTTGGGTGTCATGTGACCAGAGTGTAATCGCACCCTCGCGATTAGAAAGTCTTGTTTTATCACATCGCGATAATATCGCAAATGCAATTAATCGTTCGGCTCTACTGCAGAACAGGTTTCGTTGCTGCTGTACAGAGCAGGTGGGAACCTTAGCTGAGAGTCCAGAGTGAGAGAGTCTGATCCAGCAGGTCCAGAATCCAGGAATAGTTTAGGGGGTTTAAGGAGAGCAGATGGGCTGAGCGGTATTTCATTTAGGATAACTAGAACAACATGTTATGCAAAATTCATTTTTAACTTTTATCATAGTGACTAAATGTTCTTCCTCTACAGCAGGCCTAATATAATTATTTACATTAGTTCATTGTGTTGTTGTTAGTTGTAGCCTACAGTTTACTGATTAACTTTAAAATGTAGACTATTTGACTGTTTTGATCTGTAATGAAATTCAGCAATTGTAAAATTAATAAACGCCATAACTGCACACTGCTGCTGTCATCACTCAGTTTAAAATGCTCCCACACAGCTGAGCTGCAGTTTATTCCACGTTGATTCTGAGAGTCAAACATGAGGAATATAGAAGATATAGAAGAGAAAATGGAGGCTGTTCCACTGTTCACTCATTTCCTGACTAATATGCACTTTGATCTTCAGGGTCCAACAGCGGAGACGTCGAGGAGGGAAACCAAATCAACAGAAACCCCACAGAGAGAAACTACGCTCGTAATTATGTTGGACTGGGAGCAGCCTTATTTCTGGTTTGCTTAGCTGCTGTTGGATTGGTTGTTTTCTGGAAATATAAAAAACATACAGACAGGAAATCAGAACAGTCTGCTGCTGATGAACAGATCAGCTTGTCACAGACTCCTCCCACCTGACCACATGTATCATGTGTTCAACATGATTTCCAGTCTTTCTGTGGGGGTGAATAGGATTGGGTATCTGTTGTTGTGAATTATTTTGGAGCATAATAGCCTAAATTGTTATCATTAATTACTAGAGCAATGGTGGTCTACATTGTCATCAGTTAAAGTGTTATTTTATAGTGTAAAGTTAGGATCACAGTGTGAAAACTCTACAGCTCTGAGTGTATGTGCTCCTTTCTGTATCTAACTGCCCAGGCACATGTGTGTGTGAGCAAGTTCGTGTGCTTTGGGAGAAAAGGGAGGGAGCACAGTGAGATATCATCAAAAGCACCTGCAAAGTAAAATATAGAAGCAGATTTTGTGCAAATTGTATAACAAAACATACATCAATATAGTCCATCACAGTAAGAATGTCCTGTTTCTAGCACGGAGCACAAACAACACCAGTTTATTCCACAAAAGTCAGGTTATGGAAGAAATGGCAGGATCAAGCAGAGTGCATGCAGAGGACACAGAGAGGAGGAGCAGGCAGTCAGTGACTTTCCCAGATTCAGGTGCAGAAGGAAAGAGAGCCAAGAGATGATGTGAAGCCAAGAAACAGAGCTATAAAAGGAGGTCCAAAAGGAGGTGAAAGTCAGTCGTTACATGGTTTTCATGTCGACTCGGGTCTCTGTTCTGGTAACAGAATGGGGCTCTATTTTGCACCGATCTCTGACACACTCTGGTGGAACTGTTATATTCTAATTGGTGTCTGTTTTTGTTGGTGTTTGATAATAAAAATGTTGGTAAAAATTCAAGCTTTCTTATCTGGCCCAAGTCTTGAATTTTTACACGACATTACTGTCGTTTAAAATTTTACGATACCAGTACCCTTAAAGTGATACCACTAGAGTAATTTATTTGATACATTGCATTTTTTGTTGTCAGGTGATTTGTGAATTTTGTTAGAGACAAAGACAGTTGGACAAAGATGTTTAAAGATTTCAAAGCTGTTGAAGTTGCTTCTCAATTTTTCTACTGTTTGTTCAGAACTCGGTTGTGTTTTTTTATAATAAACTGTTTACTTGAACTGTTGATTCAGATGTCATGAGTCCAGCACACCACAGTTTCTTTCAAAATGTTACTTTAGTAACACAAAAACACACAAGCTGAAATATCTGACTTTCAACCTCAAAGCGTTGGAGGTGCATGGTGGTGCCTGATGCCGAAAGTAAACAAAAAACATGGCTGACCAAAATAAACTCTTTGTCAAGTTTAAACCCAGTTGCACCTTCAGCACTGCCCTTGGTGTTAATTAAAATTATGGCCATTTTAATGAAACGAAGTGAGTGAAGTCCTCAAAAGACAGAAAATGTACATTAAATGTTTTGGCATTTTTACATGTTAATAAGTTTTGTTCAGAAAGGATTCTTTTGTGTAACCAGCTACCCAGCAACATATTTCTACCTCAATTTACCCGCAGAACAGGTCTCACTATATGATAGTACTTATACTATTAATTAAATACATGCAAATATGCTGTAGCCTATGTTGCCTCTTAGGTTATTGTTTACCATTTACATTGTGGGCTTCCATGGGAGCTGCCATTGTTGTGTGATGTCATTCAGCTGCTTCTCGGGCACTTTTGTCTCCGAGTTCATGAGTAGGAAATCCGACTTCTGTGAGCAGCAGCAGGATAAACTCGTCTCCTCCCTCATGATACAGTCTGCAGTATTTCTCTCTTTTTTTATTTATTTATTACAGGGACAGTGCATATTCATAAACATTTCTGTCAATATGCCAGAATTAGCCTAAAGGCTATTTTTCATCTGCAGTCCCTAGACATGTGAAGGCCTGCTGAATCAAACTATTGGTAAAATGAATGAATAATAACTTCACCGTAAACAATGACCTTTCATCTGATGACCTCATCCGGGACGAGACACCGTTAGTGGTTCAGCAGAAGTAACGTCAGCTGCCGACTAACACTGCGCCGACAGCTGACCTTGCTTCTACACACAGATAAACAAAAGGTGCTCTGTTCACTTCCTTCTTGCGGTTTGAGGGAGAAAAGTTTCACGGGCGAGGTCTGGTATTTTTCATGTAATTTGACTAAAAACCTTTCACTTGAACAAGGATTATTACAGTAACTTAATAAAAAAACGTAGCGTGCCTCAAAATAATTACAACAACATTGTTAAAACAGGTTTATTACTTATTCCTCCGACTTATAGCCTACTTATCAGCCCCTTTTTAAATGATCGTTTAATTCAGAACAGTATTTGAATAGATTTAATAGCAAACCTATTATATGAACTAAATAAGATGAAATGAAGAAGAAATGGCCCTATATAGATTTCAGACAAAGGTATGAAATGTTAATGTGAAAGGTGAATGCTGCTCTGTCATGGTAATAATGAGCCAACAGAAAGAACACACACAGTTTATTTAGATTTATGATTAGACATATAGTCAATCAAAATACAAATATATCTCAGATTCACAATGTAATATATAAAATCATTATCACAATATTGCCTACACACACACACACACACACACACACACACACACACACACACACACGCACACAGCTGTCTATAGATGTGTCTCACTCTTACTCCTGCCTTGGCTAACCTAGTCCTTTCTCCCAGTACTGTTTCCTTCCCAGATTATTTCCCACACTCTTTTGAATCTGGTATCTTATTTCCTCTCCCTGCAGCTCTCGGTGTGCAGCAGTCTCTGTGAGCTCTTATTTTCTCGTAGCAGTCAGCCTTGGCAGCGGCTGCAGCTGCAGCAGGTCAGTCATAGTGAGCCGGTCCCAAATACTGTCAGTAATCTTTACATCTCGTCATGGTCACATATTTGTTTCATCTGCTTATATATCTCCTATGTTTGTTATAATATCTCTAATCACAGATCACCCCCAGTAGTATCAGCAGCCCCTCAGCAGCTACTGTTCCCTGTAAGTTATGTCAGCCCACTGTGTTTTAAAGCTAGAGTTGGGTTGTTCCCTGTGTTTCTTTTTCAAAACTGTGTCAAAGCATTTGCTGATAAGTATAAATATATATATATAAGCGTGTAATCAAGAAATACATAACGATATATGTCTGGATCATATTTTGAGAACAGTCCTATTTTAATACTTGTTCTATGTCCCCTTTTACACTTTGAGCACCTGTACATGGCTGATTCAGAACAATTATGAGAAAGCCTCCTGAGCATATTTCATGATAAACATTTAGATTTGAAATAATGTTAAAATCACATAGCTTTCAGCGTCAGAAAATTCTGTGTTTGCTCCGTTTTCCACCAAGTGTCTCCCTGCAGTTGTTTGGTTGCTCGATCAGCCCAAACAAGGTGTGACAGCCAAACTAGAAAAGAGTGAGGAAGAGCCGGGACGAATGAAACACAGAGATTTTCTCGGAGCCCATACAAGTCTGATATGCCAAACTACCTCAGCACATTCAGTCCACAGTACTTAACTGAACAGGGAAAAATCAGGTGGATACGTCACACTTTCACAGAGTTATATGAAAGAAGCTGTTTTCAATCACAGAAAGTAAATTCACTCAATTGATCTCTTTTTTTGAATGAGGAGTTGTGTTTATTGTTCCATGTGTCATGGTCAAGATCACATGAAAGATTAGTTAGTACTTTAACACATCCTGAAGTTTTAAATGTCAAAGTTTTACAGTTTAGAAGCTAGTGAAGTTTAAACTTCAGTGTCGCAGCCATTCAACCTTATTCAGATACGGCGGGAGGGGGTCAGAGTCCACAAGGCTGCAGGCTGGACCACCAGGATGCTCACAGCCAAATAACAGGGTCTTCACAGTAGAGCAGGAAAACAGGCTGCAGATGTGCATAAAAAGGGCAGCCGGGATTAAATCCAAATGTGCATTAGCTGTTAGATTCTTAGCTAGCTAAATTGTATTTATACTATTTTTTATTAAGAAAAATGACATAATGAGTTTGCAATTACGTATTAATAAAGGCAGTGTCAAGCTTTCTAAAAAACAATAACTTAAACTAGCCTATTTAAATGTATGTCGATGTGTTTCATCTGTCCCGCACAGTAGGGACGAATGAAACAATGCGCACCTTTCATTCAGAGTGAAATTATACTGAAGTCGTTCCACATTTTAACAAGATAACACCTGGTATTGATAGAACACACACGTGAGTTGTTGATGACAACAACAAATGGTTTCTGTTTCTAACGTTATATTTTAAAATGACATATATCTGAAAAGTGTTTCATTCGTCCCGGTTCTCCCCTACCGGGGCCCTGAGGGGGGAACTATGGGGGTCGAATCAAGACCGTAAGAAACAGGATCACTTCTGCAGAACACAGATGTGATCTGAGTCTTAACTTTTTGCTGAAATCAAGACACACAAACAAACTTTATTCACAATATTCTTCAACAACATAACAACATTCAGTCAGGCAGGTCAGATGGGCCCCTTTGAACCAGGACCCGGGGCTGCCTGACCCTCTGTCCCCACACCTTGTCCCTGCTGAATGGTTTTCTCTCAGTATCATGTTTATATCTTTCAGGCCAGTTGTGTGTGTTGATTGTAGTGGAGAAAAATACTTTCGATGTACTTCTTCTTCCGTGACGTGTTTCCTGACTGTTACAGGACACGTCAGAACCAGATCAGAGGTTTCCTAGATGATGTGTGAAGACCTTTTTATATACAGAGACACTGCAGGAAGAGGACGCTGCTCTGTGTGTTCGGTTTTTTTAATCATTGATCCCGTTTATTTTTATTTTTATGTTCCAGCTGTTTGTGTCTTTCAGGTCATCACATTTAATCTCAGCACTTGGTTTTCCCGAACAATAAATAAAAACATGTCATTTTTACCCAGGGAGAGATCTAAACACACACGGTTATATAAACTGTGAAGCTAATCCTACCATGAAACTTCAGGAGCTAATGCCAC